AAGAAGAAGAAGAAGAAGAAGAAGAAGAAGAAAGTTACTCCGACCTTCGGTAGGATTAACTTAATTTTCGGGGTTTAAGGCAATGAACGCTCCTTACAAAGCCTTTACCAACTTCACCAACACTTCTCAGTATATTAGCCTCATGATCTTCACTCCCGTCTGTTGAATCCCTTCCCCTTTTCTGCATTCAACCATGCAGAGAAAAACACGGATTCTCAATCATTGATCGAAAATTGCCAAGATAATCCCTCCATCCCTTCATACTTTATCAATTCTTTTCAGATGTCTCAAAACACACTTCTTGCATATATATATATATATATATATATATTTAAAAATAATGAACATGGAGCTCGCAAAATTTCTCACCCATCTAAACAAATTTTAAACATAACACTTTTCACATTTCAACACTTTTCTTAAATTTCGTGAAAGTAAAACACGAAGTTACTTGGTTTTTTTGTGGTCACAAAAAAAACACCATCCCATATAAAGACTAACAGATTCATCCTTATTTTTTTTAACTAAACAAGTCTAGTTCGAACAAAAAGTACTTATGGAAAAACTGTCCAAAACAAGGGGAATATCTTAAGTTTAGTTAAAGCAACCTTCTTTTAAAGCTTATTAGAGAAACCCAAAACAACATTTTTTTTCATCATAATAATTTTTTAAAAAAATATTTTTTCCATCTATTGATTAGTTTCTGTAGAGGTATCATATTAATATCAAAAGGTTGTACAATTTGGGAATGACTGTTTTTATAGAATGGAGGGCGTATATGTTTTTTTGGTTACACAACTATTGTTTTCATTTTAGATTTTTGTAAATTATGTTTAGGTTATTCATTCTTACAATTATGTCATTTCCAACAAAATATGAGTTAGAGAAACCGTGAAATGTTGTTGAAATAAACAAATGGCCATAAACACATTTGAGCAACAAAAAATGTTTTGCATACCTTTGAATTGGCTTTTCCCCAAGTTAAACCAATGGCATCACCACCCAATGAGTCGTACCAAATCTTGAATGTATCTGGAAATTCTCTCTGTAGAAAGAACAACCATGTGTGCAAAACGAAACAGATTTTTTAATAAAGTCAAACAGATAAATGTGCAAGACCAGCTGATACCTTAATTTCTGTAATAAAGCACTTCAGGGGATCAAAGTCCACCATCATTTTGGATTTCAATTCCTTGTAGCTATTTCTGAGGTTTGCAGTGAGAATGAAAGGGTGGAATGTCTTGGTTGGCTTGCCATGCACAACACAATGACCTAAATAAAGTAAAAAGTAGCAATGCCATTCAACTATGAAACAATGTGATGTTGAGGCTATTTGTTTAAGGCTTGAGAAACTGATCCTGCTATTTCCAGCAGCCATGATTTCAACTTACAAGAAAAAGAATCTGTTTTTGAGGTGTTTGGCATAATTTCTACAAGTGATTGTGTGATCATAAAATTATTTATTTACAAACAGAATCAAAACTCAAATTATCGTTTCTGCCAAACACACTTATTATTAAGAAAAGATGAGAAACAACGAATAAAAACCTTGTTGGAGTTCAGACGGGAAAAGAAGATGGTGCGGATAAGGTAATTTGTCTCGGTGGAGAAGAACCACAGCATCATAATTGCATAAAGGTGTGCGAAAAAGGCACTGTGGGAGAGAAGATAACACTATGATAAGTTTATATTCAGTTTAGAACATATAAAATGATTTAAAGAGGAAGTTGCATGTATATGCTCACTTTCCAGCCGTTAGAGTCATGCTGATCTTGGGAAATCAGTTTGGTCAACAAATTTGCACTGCTGGTTGCATATGCCACCAATCTCTTAAGCTCCTAGTAAAAGAATCCATGTGTATTAGCTCTGTATAGCAAATACTTTACTAATTTTAAAAATATTCGTTAGGGGTGAGATGCATCAGGTGTAACACTGAACTCTTAAAAGGAGATTACGGAGATCACAAGATGACAGCTTTTTACTAAGGGCCAATTACTTTGTAGCTCCTCAACTATGCAACTATGGCAATTTTAGTTCCTTGTTACTAGCTTTTGCAAAAACTATCCTCAGTTGTATTGTTTGGTGGTGGTTTTAGTCCCCAACCTTTAGTAGTTTTAGTATCTGTTGTTGATGAGGCTGACAACGGTCAAATAGCAAGAGTGATGTTTTTTTTGTAAAATTTAATCAAAAAAGTTAACACGGAGGGACTAAAACTGCTAAGAGTACATAAATGAAGGGAACTAAAGAGCAGTATAGGGATGCCATTTCTGCTGTTGAAAACAAAACCAATGCAGTGATGTGACGAACTACGTGCACAAAAAGCTGAATAATATCCCTTACGACTACAATACGCTCTGATTTATCACAACAATATGAAATATTGAATATATACTGTACTTACTGTTGCTGTAGGTGATATGGTCCATGCTTCAGAGGTAAGGTCGTATTTAGTAGCCAAGAACATTGCAGGCCTTGCATCATGCGATTTTGTCTGTGATTCTTCTCTAGTTTTTTTAAAAGCCGTCTGCCAGTTATACAGTGGTAGAGATCATGAATAACTGTTAACACAAAAAAAAGAGACCAAAAAGAGGGTAAGGAATAAGGATGGTTCTTACATTGATTTTCTTCAAATCCTCAGCTGTAAAATCACTCCCTTGTTGCTCTTCCATATTGGCCGAAATACCATTAAAATCAATCACCAGAGGAGAAAACATCCAGTCATATTCTGACAATAATCTTAGGAACCTGTTTCAGATAGTCATATAGCTTTGAAATTAATAGTGTCAGTGGCAAACTTGACAGAAATCAAGGTTAGAAGTGTTGGAGAGTGCAATATAAAGACAAACACATGAGCATGTGTCATATGTGATGCACACTACTTTCTACCATGGCGGGGATCCTCCCGAAAACACTTCTCTACTACTAGGAGTAGAGGATAGAGAAAAACATACATTGTGTTTATACACACACACATACATATATGGGCGGGTTCAAGTAAAAACACTCATCTCCATAAAAATAAAAATGCATCTCATGTGTTAATATTGGTTGATCAACGACCACTTTCATTCGGTGCATCAATATTATTGTATGATGATAGCTCATAGATGGTACTTAGATTATTTATTCAAGGAGCAGAGAAGGAACTCGTAGTGGACTACATGTGTAAGTTTTCTTAAAATTCAGCAAACATTTCTCCGTGCTCAAATTCAAATTTCTGTAGAATTTTAGCAAACTTAAAAATAACTACAGAATCTTGCACTTCAAATGGATTGTAATTCACCTTATATATTTGCACGATATAGTAATGTTTTCCATGCACTTAAAGGTTGAAGAATACACTCTTCTAGCCTTAGTTAAATCTTTTTGCACATTAATCGCTCAGCAATTTAACGCATGAAAAGAAGAAAAGGCTTTTGGATTGCGATATTTTCCTGACTATGCAGAGGAATTTCATTACAAAAAGGCCCTGTAACTTCTTACTCCCTCCATCCCAAAAGAAATGTCACAGTTACTATTTTGGCCTCATGATAACTTTTCTTCGTTGACTCGTTTTGGTTGACCATTTGATAAAATAAAATATTCTTGTCGCATCTTGTTTTGTAAAACTTTTGATCAATTTTTGAACGGTGTAATTTTACTTTTTATTTCTCTACCAATTTGAAAATAAAATGATTTTAAAAGAGATGATATTTTGTAGTTCGAAATGTTACTTACAATTTGGGATGGAGGGAGTATAAGATCAGTTTCATTTATCTATGTGTGTAGCTAGATGGATAGAGAACATCCACTGGTAAGTTAAATGCCACCTAAATAGAAGAAATCAACCTTAGAAATCCAGTTATGCGAGAGCAAGGAGGATCAAATGGAAAAGGGCTCAAAAAAACATAGGCA